CTGCTTCGGCTGCCCTCTCGCTGTTCCCCACCTGCGTTTGGGCAGGAAGTTCAAATCCTGACTTGACCCTTTTTCAGTTATGTGGCCTAGGATTCATTGCTCTTTTCTGCTCATTTCATCATCTGAAAAAATAATCCCTAACTTGAAGGTGAAAGTCAAAAAGAGATATCATGGACAATGTGCCTCATGCAGGGCCTGGTGCAGAGAAGCACTTGATATATGTCCTTTCCTTCCCTTTTATCCTGCAGTTCCCCCCACACCCACCCGTTGATTTATTTTTCTGAAGAGACTGCTTTTGTCATGTTACCCTCTAACCCCCAGGCTTTAAACTGGGAGGTAGTAGAATGGTCTGATTAAGACCTTAGACAAGGGTTTCTTGGCTGGGAGTGGTGGCTCATGCCTATAATCCCAGCACTTTGGGAGGCCGAGGCAGACAGATCACTTGAGGTCAGGAGTCCGCGACCAGTCTGGCCAACACGGTGAAATCCCATCTCCACTACACATACAAAAATTAGCCGGGCGTGGTGGCAGGTGTTTGTAATCCCAGCTACTCGGGAGGCTGAGGCGTGAGAATCTCTTGAACCTGGGAGGTGGAGGTTGCAGTGAGCCAGGATCGCACCTCTGCACTGTTTGGGTGATGGGAGTGAAACCCTGTCTCAAAAAAAAAAAAATCTTAGACAAGGGTTTCTCAACTTTTTTTTTTTCATTGTCACTCCCCAACAAGTCCTTTTAGATATTATGTTCTTTTGTGTGTGGCGTGGGGGTAGAGAGCAGGTATATATTTGTTGGTTAAATGAAATGCTTTGATACAGGTATGTAAGCGAGTAATAATCACATCGGGGGAAATGGGGTATGCATCACCTCAAGCATTTGTCTTTTGTGTTATAAGCAATCCAATTATACTCTTTTAGTTCTTTTCAAATGTAAATTAATCTTTTTTTTTTTTTTTTTTTTTTTGAGACGGAGTTTAGCTCTTGTCACCCAGGCTGGAGTGCGAATGGTGCGATCTCGGCTCACCTGCAGCCTCCGCATCCTGGGTTAAGGCAATTCTCCTGCCTCAGCCTCCTGAGTAGCTGGGACTTACAGGCCTTGCGCCACCATGCCCAGCTAATGTTTTGTATTTTTAGTAGAGACGGGGTTTCACCATGTTGACCTAGGATGGTCTCGATCTCCTGACCTCGTGATCCACCCGCCTCGGCCTCCCAAAGTGCTGGGATTACAGGCTTGAGCCACCGCGCCCAGCCTGTAAATTAATCTTTTTTACTATAGTCACCCTGTTGTGCTTGCTAATGCTGGGTCTTATTTATTCTATTTTTTGTACCCATTAACCACCTTACATCGTTTTTTTGCGGGGGAGAACAGAGTCTTGCTCTGTCGCTCAGGTTGGAGTGCAGTGGCACGATCTTGGCTCACTGCAGTCTCCGCATCCTGGATTCAAGCAATTCTCCTGCCTCAGCCTCCTGAATAGCTGGAATTACAGGTGCATGCCACCATGCCCAGCTAATTTTTGTTTTTGTTTTTGTTTTTTTTTAAGTAGAGATGGGGTTTCACCATGTTGGCCAGGCTGGTCTTGAACTTTTGATCTTGTGATCCACTTGCCTCAGCCTCCCAAAGTGCTGGGATTACAGGCATGAACCACCATGCCCCACACATATTACATTCTTCATTGCCTCCCTCTACCATGGACTTTTATTACATAGATATGCTATTGCTTTAGCTACTGTATGTGTATCTGCGTTTTATACATAAAGCACAAGAACCCTCAGAACCAATTTTCACAGCCTTGGAAGTAGCACCGCCTCCACTGGGAATGCACAGCATAGACTGTAAAACCTCAAAGCTAAGTGCAAATCTTGGCCCTCCACACATGAGCTGTGTGGTCTTGTGCAAGTTACGTAACTTCTTCTCCTTGTCTCAGACCCCTCACACCTAAGATGAGGGTCACAGTAGTACCTGAGGCCAGACACAGTGGCTCACGCCTGTAATCCCAGCACTTTGGGAGGCTGCAGCAGAAGGATCGCTCAAGTTCAGGAGTTCAAGACTAGCCTGGACAACATGGTGAAACTCTGTCTCTACAAAAAAATACAAAAATTAGCTGGGTGTGGTGGCCTTTAGTTCCGGCTACTTGGGAGGCTGCAGTGAGAGGACCATTCGAGCCCGGGAGGTCAAGGCTGCAGTGAGCTGTGATCATGTGGCTGCACTCCAGCCTGGGCAACGGAGCCGGACCCTGTCTGAAAAAAAAAAAAAAAAAAATTAGCATCTGCCTCATGTGATCACTGGGGACACTATATGAGTTCATGTACATAGAGGACTTAAAACAATGCCTCAGGCAGACCCAGTGCTGCACGGTTGCTCATATTCCCAAAGTCTCCAGAGCCCACAGAAGAGTGTGGACGCCCCTTGGCTTGACAATTGAGATGGATCACGCTCTTACTTCCCTTATCTGCCTCTCCACCCCACACTCCCACAAAGCTTTATTCACACCAAGTCTCCGGTCTTCACCTGCGTGGTGTGAGCCCCTCACTGTCCAGGGTGTCCCTCCATCTTCACAGCCTCTCTGCCTGGCCTCCTTCCTCTGAGCTAGCCCACCACACTCTCATTTCTCGGTTCAGCAGAGACCAGACTGTTCCTCTGCATGTAATGTCTCAACTGGAAGAGAAATGGAGAATGGCCAAGAACTTGTGAGCAAGGGTCAGCTCCAACAGAGAGTTAAGCCAAAGGGGCTGGGCAGAAAGAGAGATGAAGTCGGGGGCCTCAGAAATGAGGGTGTACAGGGTGAGAGTACTGGGGAGGGGTGAACAAGAGTTCAGGGAGGAGAGCGTTCCCAGCACAGAGCTGGAGACTGCTTTACAGAGGCCCAAGGAGGCGTGGAGGGAGGGGGAAGGCTGCCGAGGCTCTCTCCATCTCCGTGAGGGTGTCAAGAACGCAAGGCACTCACGCTCTTTACGTGGTCCATTCCGCAGGGTTGAGCTTGCAGTGAGCAACCTTGAGGGCTCAGCTGACATCTCACTCAGGGCCAAATAACACACATGCTTACTGCTTGCTATAAAACGGTCCATTCCCCAAGCTCAGCGTTTCCCTCCTCTAACCTCCCCACCCCTCACACATGCACAGGTATCTGCCTGAGCCATGGCATCACTCTGGGGCTTGGGGGACAGGGCAATGGCGCTGGGCGCTGGTGCTCACGCCTGCCCGGCAGGAAGTCCTACCTGCTGCCAGCAGCTGTGGAGCATAAAGGCTTCTTCATTAGCTTTAAAAGAGGGGAGAATGGCATCCCGCACAGGACAGCCAGGTGACTTGGGAAGGGAAGAGAACCCACCACAGTGTGGGGAAGTGGAAGCGAGCGCAGTAGGAAGTGAGAGGGGCGGCCCCCCTGCAGGCTCTTCAGTTGGCGGACTTGGGTTTCAGGAAGAGCTCTCTGGCTTCTGGGTGGAGAACGGCCAGTGGGGTAAATGGTGAGCGGAAAGACAGAAAACGAAGAAGGTTGGGTGGGGTTGGGAAGTTATCCAGGCCCCACTGGAGGTAGAGCTGTGACCTCGTGTCACTGACGTGGGTGGATGAGACTGTCCTCAAGAGTGTGGGATGGGAAGAGAGGGAGAATCTCAGCCAGATCCCAGAAAGGAGCCCTCAGAAGAGGAGGGGAGTCAGAGGCAAGGAAGGGGCTGGGGCAGCCGGCCCTGCTGAGTGGACCCCAGGAGTTGTGCCATGGGGTGGCGTGGGGTGAGGAGGGACCAGTGCCAGAGAGTGGATGGGGAGCGGCTTTTAGTCCTGCAGACTTCTGGCCAAAGGCAGGGAAAGGTGGTCAAACACTGAGGCCAGGAACAAAGAAGGGAAACCGATGGACTTCCTCGGCAGTGAGCAGCCCGCCTTGCCCTCGGCACTGCACTGCAGCCCCCAGCTCTGTCCTGGGGTTGGGGGGCACGAGGAGGGGCAAGGTGGGGAGTACACAAAGCACCCCCTGTCCTCAGAAGACCGCGGCGACTAGAGCCAGGAGAGCAGCGGGCATGGGCTGGGATGTGGGCAGCAATGGGCCAGAGGGGACTCAAGGGAGTCATGGGCCACCAAATGAAGGTGTATTGGTATTGGAGGCCTACAGCGGGCCGAGAACTGTACAGCACGTGCCTTGCCATGCCGCAGGGAGGGGCCGGGCAAGTAAGAAGTGATGGGAAGGTGGGGGCAGTGGCGGCTGAGATTCATGTTGCAGTCAAAGGGCCACGCTGGCCAGGCCAGGGTGCAGGAGCACAGCTGGACGCTGGAGCCCACCAGGCGCCCCACTGCGGGGCAGGAGGGGCAGGGGAGAGACTGTGAGAGGAGCCGAGGCCAGGTCCTGGGTGACAGCTGTGTCCTCAGGCAAGTGATCCAGGCTTGACTGATGGGTACAGGGAGCCAGGAAATGCCTTGGGGCAGAGAGGTGAGGAAAAAATATTTATCGAGTATCCACCAGGTGCAAGATGCTCACTAGACGCTTTCAGTACCGCAGCTTCTCAGACTCGGGTTGCATAGCAGTTTTCTTAGGGTTTCTCTAAAATGCAGATTCTAATTCAGTAGATACAGGGCAGGGCTTGAGGCGCTGTCTTTAATAAGCTCCCAGTGCCTGGGACCACACTTTGAGAAGAAGAGCTGTGTGTGCCCCAATGTAGTTTAGTGAGTACTATGGGCTCCCACTTGTGGACAGGGAAGCTGAGGGCCCCAGGAGCTCTCCCAGCTCCTGAAGGCTCCCCACTGATGAGAGCTGACTGTGCTGTGCTGACTGCAGGGTCTGCTCCCTGCCCCCACCTCCAGGCTGGGGTAAGTGACACCTCTCTCCCTCCAGCTCTGCAGTCTTCCCTGAGGTCCAAGTCTTCCAGGTTTGTAAAGTCAGGCCCTCCCATTGACAGCTGGCCTCCACCCTGGAGTCTGTGAGCTTGGCTGTGGTGGCATCTAAAGATAGTCTCCCTCACAGGAAACCAGATACTATTGGCTAACTTTGCAAATAAAATGCCCTTAGAGGGAGGAAAAGGGAAATACTCGTGTCTGGTAGCGTCTGCACAGGACAGGGTGGTTGACTGGCACATCTAGAGGCTCCCTTGGCAGTCCACGCCAGGTAGGTGCACAGGACTAGTTGGGTACCTGGGGGTGGGGTGGAGCCGTGCACAGTCAGCAGGATAGTAATGCTCATCTCCCTTATGTGGAGGCAACGGAAGCCGTCATCCCGGGGATGTTGCAGCCTAAATATGTCCAAGGGGATGGAGGAGTGGGAGGCAGGGAGTGATGGGATTATTTATAATACACTCAGCCTGATGGAGTAAGATTGGAAGCATTTGTAACTACAGTTTAGAGACGTGGAGAAAAGCTCATGATTTTACACCAACTGAAAAGAGCATAATATAAAATTGCATCTGGATGCTGTTGAAAACTATTGTTAATTTTTTTTTTTTTTTTTGAGATGGAGACTCGCTCTGTCGCTCAGGCTGGAGTGCAGTGGCACAATCTCAGTTCACTGCAACATCCACCTCCTGGGTTCAAGTGATTCTCCGGCCTCAGCCTCCTGAGTAGCTGGGACTATAGGTACGCACCACCACGCCTGGCTAAATTTTTGTATTTTTAGTGGAAATTGGGTTTCACTGTGTTAGCCAGGATGGTCTCAATCTCCTGACCTCATGATCTGCCCGCCTCAGCCTCCCAAAGGGCTGGGGTGACAGGTGTGAGCCACCACACCTGGCTGCTCATTTTTTGAGATGAAAAATTGTATTAAAGGTTGTTTTTTTAAAAGGGTCCTTATATTTTAGAGATGCACACATGTGTTTATGGGTGAAATTAAATTAATCTTAGGAGAGAAATTAAGTGGGAAGCTGAGGAAGTATTGACCATGAGTTGCTAATTGTTGAACTCTGGTGATGGGTACAAGGAGGGTCTCACTGCTTTTATTTGAAAAGTTGCTTTTTTTTTTTTTTTTTTTTTGAGATGGAGTTTCACTCTTGTTACCCAGGCTGGAGTGCAATGGTGCGATCTCGGCTCACCGCAACCTCCGCCTCCTGGGTTCAGGCAATTCTCCTGCCTCAGCCTCCTGAGTAGCTGGGATTACAGGCACGCGCCACCATGCCCAGCTGATTTTCTGTATTTTTAGTAGAAATGGGGTTTCACCATGTTGACCAGGATGGTCTCGATCTCCTGACCTCGTGATCCACCCGCCTCAGCCTCCCAAAGTGCTAGGATTACAGGCTTGAGCCACCGCGCCTGGCCGAAAAGTTGCTTTTTATTTGAAAATTTAGTAATAAAGAGTTTTTAAGGGCCGGGCGCAGTGGCTCAAGCCTGTAATCCCAGCACTTTGGGAGGCCGAGGTGGGTGGATCACGAGGTTGAGATCAAGACCATCCTGGTCAACATGGTGAAACCCCGTCTCTACTAAAAATACAAAAAAAAAAAAAAAAAAAAATTAGCTGGGCATGGTGGCATGTGCCTGTAATCGCAGCTACTCAGGAGGCTGAGGCAGGAGAATTGCCTGAACCCAGGAGACGGAGGTTGGTGGTGAGCCGAGATCGCACCATTGCACTCCAGCCTGGGTAACAAGAGCAAAACTCTGTCTCAAAAAAAAAAAAAAAAAGAGTTTTTAAAATTGTATCTGCATTTTAATATAACTATAAATGCACTTAATATAAATACAAAACATGTATATAAAATTTAGATAGAGAAAAGTTGAAAGCTTGCTGTGGTTGATTCCAGGAAATTGCATTGCAGATAGTTTTATGGATTTTTTCCCTTTTTCTTCCATTTTTCGTACCATCTAGAGTTTTTTATAATGAGTGTATATTGAATCTATAATAAAAGCTATTTTAATTAATAAATTGCTAGCATAATTTCAATTTTCAATTTTGATATATGCTGTCATAGCCATTGTGAGGACACTCAGGCTCAGGTCTGTGTGGGTGAAAAACATGGTCTTCAGAAAGAAACTATGAGTGCAAGACAGGGAAACCCACCGGGCCCAGCTGAGGACCCCCCGGGCTTGTCGCTATTTCCCTCACCTCACCTCTGGCACTCAGGGCCTCACACAGCCTGCAGTCCTTGCTTTCTGAGTTTATAGCTCAGTCCAGAGAACAGCTAAAACATTGTAGGATTTTTTCCAACCTCCCATTCTCAAACTTGAGGTAGAAAGCTTGAGGCAGAAAAAAATGGAGCCAAAGAAAGGAAAATTGAACCATGTGAAAGCAGGCAAGAAAGCTTGTCTTGCTGGGGGCACAGTTCATTGCAGGCCCCGAGGGCGCTTTGGGGTGGACCTGTGCCGCAGAGCCTTGGGGACCGCTGCGGGCTGGGCATGGGGGCAGTGGGTTAGAGTTCAAAACCCCTGGGAATGATGAATGAGATCGGGAAGGCTAGGGTGGGATTCTTTCATCTTCCTCTTTGCTTGGCTTTATTTTCACAAAGGAAGGCAGGGCCGGAAAGAGTCTCAGCCCAAATTCAGTGTGGTTCTTCTTAGCACTCGGACTGACCTGGCAGTTGCCACACCTCCAAGAAGGGAGCACCTCCTATCCCTCAGCCACGTGCCAGTCTCCACAAAGTCTGCCCTTGAACCCTGCTCCACAGATGGGGACATAGGCAGCTTGGCTTTTGAATAAAGTCCTGCACGTGGTAACTGTGCACAGCACTTGCTAATTCTGTTTCCTGCTTTTAAAATGGAGATTGTCCATCAGCCTTTGAAGCCATGTAATGGTTTCTGCAAGGATTAAGAGCATGGTATAGAATGTCCCAAACACACTGCCTGGCATACCTTCGGTGCTCAAGAAACGATATATGTTGTTTATCATGGGGAAACTGAGGCTCAGAACGTTTGGATACCTGACAAACACTGACTACTATTGAATGAGGTTGTGAAGAACGCAGAGCTGTAGGGGCAGGAGAGCAAAGAACGTGGTAGAGCTGACCCAGTCAGGACGATCGTCTATCCCCTTTCCACCCCACTTCAGCCCACGAGGAACTCCGCCCGGCCCTGGGCAGCTATGCCACAGTGGCAATGTCAGGTACGGTCCTCCCTAGCCAGAGACCCTATCCTCAAAGAAACTCCTTCCCAGGATCCAGGCATCCAACTCCTCCTCCCCAGCCCCAGCCTCTGACCCAGAGTCCTGAGTCCAGAGACGTTTGGAACCAGCACCTGTAATGGAGGAGCTGAACAAGGAGGGGACTTTTTGCTGCTCCATGGCAGGTCCCGGTCATGGGAGGGAGTGGAACCAGAATGGCAGAATCCAGATCTTAGCTGCCTTTTCCAGGACTTGTTCTGATTCCTTCCCAGCAGCACAGCCCAGGAATTCCAATAGGTCAGGTTCTCTGGCATCATTACTTGGCCCAGAAGAGCCAAGGGAAAATTGGGGTTTCTAGCTGAACCCTGATCCCACCTGTCCTCTGAGGGACTGGGAATCCGCTAGCTGCTGTGCAGGTGGGATCCTCACGGCACGCCGACCACAGCTGATGCTCCAACCACTTCATCTTGTTTGGTCGAAGTGCAGCTTTTTAGATTGTAAGTAGGGAGGAAAAGCTATATTACGTGTCTTTAGATCATGAGTAGGGAGGAAAGGCTCTATTAAATGTCTTTAAACATCTTCCAGACCACCTTTGTTTTTCCCTTAAAGTGTGCTTCAGGAGAAAATGGAAAGTCTCCTTCCAGTGTGTCGTATTTTGCAATAAACTCCAGGTTAGCAAAGTGTTAGATTTAATTTCTCACATTACTGCCATCCAGGCTGAGAAAGAGAACTCCAGAAGCCTCTCTCATGTCCCTACCTGACCACAGCCTCTTCCTCTCCCACAAAGAACCACAAGTCTGACTTTTATAGTGATTACTTCCTTGCTTTTCCATGTAGTTCGATTCAATTTAAATATCCCTGAACTATATAGTTTAGCTTTGCTTATTTTTGATCTTCATATTTGGATTCAAACAGTAGGACTACTTTTTGGTTTTTGACTCAACACTAAACTTTTTTTTTTTTTTTTTTTTTTTTTTTTTTTTTTTGAGGCAGAGTTTTGCTCTTGTCACCCAGGTTAGAGTGCAATGGCGTGATCTTGGCTCACTGCAACCTCCGCCTCTTGGGTTCAAGTGATTCTCATGCCTCAGCCTGCTGAGTAGCTGGGATTACAGGTGCCCGCCACCATGTCTGGCTAATTTTTGTATTTTTGGTGTAGACAGCGTTTCACCATGTCAGTCACGCTGGTCTTGAACTCCTGATCTCAAGCGATCCACTCGCCTTGGCCCCCCAAAGTGCTGGGATTACAGGTATGAGCCACACTGGCCAACACTAAACTTTTAAATGCATCCATGTTGTAAGAGATGTACACACACAGAAATTTTCACGGCAACATTGTCCAAACTAACAACAAACTGAAAGCCACCTATGTGTGCATTAGCAGTAGAAATGATAATAAATGATGGACTAGTCACACAGTGGAATCCTATGCAGCAACGAGAATGAGCAGTTTACAGCCACGCCAACATCATGGGTGAGATGCTTCCAGAAATACTGAGACAAATTTACAGAAAAAGGCAAAATTGGTCCTTATCCACAGGGCACTTATTCAGTGCAAGTCCACCGGACACAATTTGTATTTGCATGAGAAAGAGTCATTGGCACTGCTGTCTGTGTTCTATAATCTACAGTGCTGTAAAATTAGCTCAGGCAATAAAAGGGGGAGGTAGCCCCGAATAGAATACTAGAAAGGACTCCCGTTGATCTTCAGGCTGTGCCTATTTCAAAGTCTTTCATCATTTTTCCTTGTAGTTTCTTAGTGTGGAATTTGAGACGCCTCTCTTTGGTCCTCATCTGCCTTTTCAGCCTTGGCTTTCTCTGCATCCTTCCCTGAAGCCCTGCACTAGCCTAAACTGCCTTTCCTGAACACTGCCGGGAGCCTGTGGGCCCCTCCCAACTCCACCACCTTCATTGCCTTCCGTTTCTACTTCCCTCTGCCTGGTCTCAGCCCCAGGAAACCTTCCTACGCTTAGACCCTCTGTGCCTTTGCCTTCAAACCCTATTTGCTGCCACCTCCATCTTGGTCAACCTGGAAGACTTCCCCCACCCTTAAAACATCAGCTTAAATGACAGCTTTATTATTATTATTATTA